TGGCTGCCCAAGCTCCTGTGTCGTCTACTCGTCTCACTGCTCCACCTCTCCTGCCCACACCTTCAGGGGGGTGGGTCGCCCTCCTTATGTTGAGAAGGGCCGGTCACGCCATCACACTTTCTGTGACTACTGCTCTAGGCTAGGTCACCCAGAGTCTGATTGTCGTCAGAAACAGTGTAACCAGAGGCGCTCCTCTTCCAGTGGGACTCCTGTGTCGTCATCGACTCCGTCACTCACTGACCAGGACATTGTACGCCTCAAGCGTCTACTTGCTTCCTCCAGCTCCTCGTCGACTGGTTGCGCTGCTGTTGTGACTACATCCACTTCTCCACCATCGCAGGCATCTACACAGTCAGGTGCATCTTCGTGGGTTCTGGATTCTGGAGCCTCCTTTCATATGTCTTCTGATTCTTCTGTGTTGTCTTCTCTCCGACCTCTTGATTCGCCTTTTAGTGTTCTTACCGTCGATGGCACACCTCTTCCTGTTGCTAGTCGTGGTCTTCTTTCCACTCCATCTTTTTCTGTTCCTAGTGTTTCACATGTTCCTCGCCTTACCAAGAATCTTTTTTCCGCTGCCCAACTTACTGATTCTGGTTGTCGTGTCATTCTTGATATTGACTCTTGCTCCATTCAGGATCGTAGCACCAAGGCTTTGGTTGGTGTTGGCCCCCGGCGTCGTGAGTCATATGGCCTTTGGGAGGTTGATTGGCTTTGTGTTCCTTCCGCTGCAACCACTTCAGCCAGCTCCCATGCACTTGCTGCCTCTTCGTCTGCGTCCTTCCAGCAGTGGCATCATCGCCTTAGTCACATCTGTGGCTCTCGCTTGTCTTCTTTAGTTCGTCAGGGCCTCTTAGGGTCTGTATCTAGAGATGTTTCTTTACATTGTAATGGTTGCAGACTTGGCAAACAGACTCGGTTACCTTGTCCTACCAGTGAGTCAGTATCTCAGCGTCCTTTTGACTTAGTTCATTCTGATGTCTGGGGTCCTACTCCCTTTGATTCGAAAGGTGGTCATCACTACTATATCTTGTTTATTGATGATTTCTCTCACTACACTTGGCTCTACTTCATGAAATCTCGTAGCGAGGTTCTCTCTATATACAAATGTTTTGCTGCCATGGTTCACACCCAGTTTTCCACGCCCATTCGTATTTTTCGTGCTGACTCCGCTGGTGAATTTATCTCCCAGCTGTTGCATGGTTTTCTTGCGGGACAGGGTACTCTTGCCCAGTTCTCATGTCCTGGTGCTCATGCTCAGAATGGCGTTGCCGAACGTAAGCATCATCATCTACTTGGGACGGTTCGTGCGCTTACGATTGCAGCTTCCCTTCCACCCCACTTTTGGGCTGAGGCTGTTTCTGCATCCACCTATCTCATCAACATTCAGCCATTGACTGCTCTGCAGGGTGGTATTCATATGGAGTGTCTCACTGGTCGTTCTCCTGACTACTCAGCTCTTCGTATGTCTGGATGTGTGTGCTATGTCCTTCTTGCCCCGCGAGAATGCACCAAACTGACTACTCAGTCGGTTGAGTGTGTTTTCCTTGGCTATAGTGATGAGCACAAGGGCTATCGCTGTTGGGATCTTGTTGGTCATCGTTTGCGCATCTCGCATGATGTGACCTTTGACGAGTCTTGCTCTTACTACCCACGTCCTTCTTCCTTGGGCTTCTCTGTGGACGATATTTCTTTTCTTCTTCTCCCCGATACACCCTGCTATGTGCCTCATGTTTCACCTACTCCTCCTCCCGCACCTCTCATTCCTTCTCCTTCACCATCGACACCATCTTCCCCATCCTCCTCCTCCACCTCTCCACCATCATCTCTAGTCTGTTGCCCTCTCTCACCGTTTCCTCTCCACTATACTCGCCGCCCTCGTTCTGAGGATGCTTCTCCTGACGCGCCTTTCACCTCTGGTGCACCTCTCTTCACGCCTCCCCCGGTTCATAACCTCCATGCTTGGCCTCGCCCCCCGCCTAATCGCTACTCTCCTGATCGGTACGGTCTCTCTGTTATTGCTGAGCCCACTTCCTATCGGACTGCCATGACTCAGCCTGAATGGCAGCTTGCGATGGCCGAAGAGCTTGCTGCCCTTGAGCGCTCTGGCACATGGGATCTGGTTTCCCTCCCTTCCGGTGTTCGTCCCATCACCTGCAAGTGGTTCTACAAGATTAAGACTCGCTCTGATGGTTCTCTTGAGCGCTACAAAGCGCGTCTTGTGCCCCGTGGTTTTCAGCAGGAGCAGGGACGCGATTATGATGAGACATTTGCTCTTGTGGCCCACATGACCACTGTCTGCACTCTTCTTGTTGTGGCTTCTGTTCGTCATTGGTCTATCTCTCAACTTGATGTTCAGAACGCTTTTGTCAATGGCGAGTTGTGTGAGGAGGTTTATATGCAGCCACCATAGGGTACTATGCTCCTGATGGTATGGTCTGTAGACTTCGCCGCTCCCTCTATGGTCTTAAACAGGCCCCTCGTGCCTGGTTTGAGCGCTTCGCCTCTGTGGTGACTGTCGCTGGTTTCTTACCCAGTGATCATGATCCCGCGTTGTTTGTCCACACGTCTCCTCGTGGTCGGACTCTTCTCCTTCTCTATGTTGATGACATGATCATCACTGGTGACGTCTCTGACTACATTGCCTTTGTTAAGGCTCGCCTTCGCGACCAGTTCCTCATGACTGATCTTGGTCCACTTTGTTATTTTCTTGGGATTCAGATCTCCTCGACCTCTGATGGCTTCTACATCTCCCAAGAAAAATATATTCAGGTTCTTCTTGCTCGCGCTGCTCTCGGTGATGAGCGCACTGTTGTGACTCCTAGGGAGCTCAACGTTCAGCTTCGTGTCTCTGATGGTGACCCCCTTCCTAATCCCACTCGCTATCGTCACCTTGTTGGCAGTCTTGTCTATCTCGCTGTTACGCGTCCTGACATCTCCTATCATGTCCACATCCTGAGTCAGTTTGTTTTAGCCCCCACCTCTGTCCACTATAGTCATCTCCTCCGTGTTTAACGATATCTTCGTGGCACGATCTCTCAGCGCCTTTTCTTTCCCGCTCCAGCTCTCTTGAGCTCCAGGCCTACACTGATGCTACCTAGGCTAGTGATCCCTCTGATCGACACTCGATGTCTGCTTACTATGTCTTTCTTGGTGGCTCTCTTATTGCCTGGAAGACCAAGAAATAGACTGCAGTTTCTCGCTCGAGTACAGAGGCTGAGTTGCGAGCCATAGCTATGTTGACGGCCGAGGTGATCTGGTTACGGTGGTTACTTGAGGATTTTGGTGTGTCTGCTACTACCTCAACTCCCTTACTGTCAGACAGTACCGGTGCTATCAGTATTGCGCGTGACCCGATGAAGCATGAGCTCACCAAGCACATCGGTGTGGATGCCCACTTTGTGCGTGCTGCTGTGCAGGATCAGACTCTCACTCTTCACTATGTGCCTTCCGAGTTACAGTTGGCGGACTTTTTCACGAAGGCACAGACTCGAGTGCAGCATGGCTTTTTCCTCTCCAAACTCAGTGTTGTTGATCCACCATGAGTTTGAGGGGGGGGTGTTAGATGTGTATAGTCCCTTTTTGGTATATCCCCAGTGTATAAGGGGTTTTCTGCACTTTACCACACATGTATATGTAATGGCCTTTGGCCCTCAGTGAATACTAGTTGCTCATTATCCAACACTTTCAAGGAGTTATTATCAAGTTACATTGCTTGTGCTTGTTACTCTTTGATGGCGAGTGCATCCTAGATAGTTAGGAGTCACTTGTGGGAGGGTGTTTTGGGATTCTTGAGAGAAGCTCCGATTGAAGATCTTTCAAGGAGTTATTATCAAGTTATTTTGCTTATGCTTGTTACTCTTTGATGGCGAATGCATCCTAGACAGTTAGGAGTCACTTGTGATCCTATCAAGTTCTACGTGTGAAATATGCAAGAAGTTGGTATGGGTCAGAGATCACCCACTTTGATCTACCCTTAGTGGGGGTTCTAAGAGCAAACCATGATGAAATAGATTGATTGTGTTTTGTGGGCTTCTTGGTGGGAGACACAACCAAGATTCTTGAATCCTAGAACCTCTTGGTTCGAAGTCTCCATCAACGTGGATTTACGATAGCAGCAACTATCCGAACCATGGGGAGAAAAATCATGTGCCACGGTGTTTGCATTTTCTTACCCGACCTCCTACTTACTTGCAAGATTGCTACTTTTTCGATGTGCATTACTCGTGATGTCTTGCTTGCTAAGTTCTTTTAGTCATTTGTTGCCTGGGGATGAAAACCACCAACCTTAAAAATTGTGCGGCTTGATTTTCACAAGACTATCCACTCCCCCTCTAGTCCTTAAACCATGATCTCGCAACAGCTGGGAATCAGCCGGTTGAATCTAATCCTTTTCCTTGATATAAAAGCAGTTCTTTTGTCTGTTTTGGACATCAAAACGTCTATTCTGCTTAGCTAACAAAAACTCTACTCTGCTATGTTTCATTGCACACGTTCTCTCTGTCCACTTACATATATTCGGCTGATGACATCATGTCGGATCCAGCTTTGTAGGAAGACTAATCACTGGTTATTGCAGTGCATCACATTGGTTCTCGAAATGATAAAACCTGCAACTTTACATCACATCTGTTCGAGCAGGTAATCAAATCTGTTGAAAAAATAGAGGGTGTATCATTCATAACAAGCGTAAAATATCTGTACAAAGTGGTCCTCTATTCAAAGCATGAAATGTGATTGTATTGTTTTTCCATTTCAAATAGGATACAGAATAATAGCATTATTAAATCGTTCTATATACACAAGATGGTGTGAACCACATCAAGCTACTAACACACTCAAAACACATCTTCCTCAAAATAGTCAACTAAAGTTTTTAACTGAACTTACTAATGTTACAACAACAGCAGCAGAAGCAGCAGCCCCCGAATGGACAAGAGCACATAGGGCTTCGAAAACGTCTAGCGACTAACAGAAAGAAGGAAAACGAGAGGAGAATCTGTCTAAGCTTTCACATCTCCATTTGGTTGACCAAGAATAGATGGTCGGTAAAGTGACTGGCCCCGTGCCATCTCAATTCTTTCACGCGGATCACACATTGACTCATCTCTTATAGCCTGAAGAATCGACTCAGTAGGAAGTTCCCTGTGCACATGAGTAAACAAATCAACACAGTTGATTATGGCTGCAAACTTTTACTAACGTACAATATAGCATCATCATACTGGGTAGCAATCAGCCAGGAGAATGAACATATCTTTATGCCTACTGAGATAAATTGTTCTTATATCTGGGCAGTTACAGTATGTACTTGTTAAAAATGGATAAACCCATTAGAAGGTATTTTTGAAGCTATTTCGATAAAATTGCAATTGAACTATTTCACAAGGGCTTTTGTTATATCATGAAAAAGAAGAAGGATTATTACCTCTTGATCAAAATTTTATGAAGTGTTTTCAAGATGGGGCACATCTCAACTGGCGCAACAGATTTTTTGGCTTCTGGATGCATTACACTCAAACTATCCTGACTGAGAAGTTTATAAAATGCATCGACCGCAGAGACACCCTGAAATGAATTGTTAACACAATTTAGTATGCCTTGAGGTTTGTGGTAGCAGTTGAACGTTCGGACAACAATCAAAATGGCGAACCTGGATTGTCCCTTTGCCTTTTATGCTATCACCCATTTCCAGAGTCAGTTCCCCTTTAGCTAACTTATGCCCATACCATGCATTACGACCTTTCAACAATGTGACATAAGTGTCAGCTAATAACGGTCCAGCAAGTTTTTCGGGTTCTTCTTCCAGAAGGTGGGTGATGTAGATCATTTCGGATGTGCAAAGTGCAAAGTAAACAGACTTGCTGGTAGCACTCTCATTGGTTAGTGCTGCCACCATACCTGCAAGATAACACAATGTTCAGCAAACTAACTGAAGATTATGTCAATTAAGAGTAGAAGTGCAACAGATATTTCAGCCTTTCTTGTCCATTGGTTCTTTCTTCTGGATGTTGACAGCTAAGATATAACTAACTAGTGTATTTTTCCTCCTTGGGACACTGATTCGTTGGAATTAGTGCATGATAACATGATGAAAGTTACTACCTATTGAGGACATTGTGTAACACTGAGTGTAGGTGGCAAACTAATCCAAAGTTTAGAACAGTGTATGGCCTTTACAAACTTATAGTGGTCGAAATATGGCAAAAGCAGTGGGACATACGGACATAACTTACCAGCACCAATAGCGTACACATTTTTCAAACCTCCCATGACTTCATGAGTGATGAGATCACTATTATCCCAGACAATAAAATGAGGTTGCCTCAAAAATTTAGCAAGAGGTTTCCTCCATTTGTCAGTTCCACAAATACGAGCATTCGCATATTCTTTATTATATATTTCAGATGCGATGTTAGGACCACCAAGATATAGAATATTATCCAATGGAACCTTAGCTGCAATAAAATCAATAATCAGTAAGTCACATGCAGAGTTAAATAGGCAAAAGGAAAATGCTGGAAACAAAGCATGACACTCAGCACACACCACTCTGAAACTAGAGTTCTGAATTGAGATCAACAACAGTTGAACAAAATGTTGCATTTTTTTTGGTGTGTAGAAGCATGAAAATAGAGTAAAGAATTCATTCAGGAAGAGCCTGCTAAACTAAACACATATAATGACTAAGAACATTCATAAGCAACAGAAGATACTACCAATTACTTAGCAGCAAGTTCAATAGTTAGTTATATCCCCTCTATACGAAACTTAAAGAAGGTTACATAGATCTTAACCTTTACTCTTATACTCTTATAAATATCTGAGTTTGTGGCGGTCCATTCACCCACAGATATTACCTCTTAAGTCGCCAAGAAATTAATTGCCGCAATTATAATATATTTGTATAAGAGATATGTCTCATAATCTTTCGATCAGTTGATTCGATTGATGTAGATTTTGAGATTTTTTTATTTGCACAAAGTTAGGGACTAAGATGACACAAGCAGTTAGACAACTCATGCAACGAGAAAAACTTCTATATCAATGCACAAGCATCAATTTCCATAGCAGCGCACCAGTATTTAGCAAGCCCAGGCAATGAATTCAGTTAAACATTACAGTATAATGCAATGAGCAAAAAAGCATTTTTGGATATATTTTTACCAAGAACCATGTACGCATTTATCTTCTACAATTCAACATCAATATCTTGTCAGCAACGCAATCGGTTGCATCCAAAATTTACCATAACTCATGATGACATTTCAGCCAAAGTTTGATAACTGCCTGTCATAGTTATCAGGTACTCCTACCAGATTAAAAAGGCTGATAGCTACAAATTTGTACCCATGGAGGGGAACCGACACCAACAGTTGAGGGCAAACAGCAATTCACCAAGTACAGAGGACAACATCAATCCACCATCAGCAGAGGACAACATCAATTCTTCAGTGAAGAAAGAAGAATAAATTATGATTGGGCGAAAAAGAAGATATAGGAAACTCACTTGCTTTGCTAATCATCTGTGTCGGAGTTATGATCCGCGGCACCGGATCCAGGGATGCTTCTATCCCTTTGGTGAGCGAGATGATGACTGGGGCATTAACCCTCTCCTTCCAGTACCTCCCAATCTCCCCAAACACAACCCTCGTCTCCGTGGATGGCAGGCCGTTGATGACAATGTCAGCGTCCCAGACGGCCTCCTGCAGGTTGGTGACGACCTTGAGCGGGCAGAGCGGGGTGTCGATCATGTTGAGGCAGAAGCCGTCCCTGAGTATCTCGTCGGCGTAGAGCGTGCGGTCCCCGAGGCGGCCCTCGACGTACTTGAGGTAGGCGCATCGGCGGATCAGGCGGCGCAGGACGTCCTCGCGCGCGTTGATGACGTTGAATAGGTGCTCGGCGGTGGCGCGGTCGACGGCGCGGCCGGGGCGGCGCCAGATGCGGAGCTGCACCTTGTCGCGGAGGTGGCCGTAGGCGTCCTGCAGGAGCGCGCAGAAGACGCTGCCCCAGGCCCCGGCCCCGACGCCGACGATCCGGAGCGGGTCCCCGTCGGCCTTCCCCATCACCCGCCGCAGCTCGTCCACCTTCTCCTCCACGGCCCCATTGGCGTGCCCGTTGGATGCGTGGCCCCCCGCCGCGTGCGCCCCGTCCTCCGCTCCGCCCATTGCTTCTCGCCGCAAGCAAAACCAAGGCCAGCCGCGCAAGCCACCACTACATAACCTGTCTGACTCGTTCGGTTGTTCCAAGGATGGGCAGGCAGGTTATAAACTAACCGGGAGGAAGAAGACGAGAAAAGGACGCAAATTGCGTGGGTCTGGCCGCCGAATTGCGACGGGGGTGACGCGGGGTGTCGGCCGGAGAGACCGAGGCGGGCCGCGGCTTGCCTGCCCGAGCGGTCGGCGGTTGGTGGCGCGGTTTCGCTCGCCGGTCGGGCGATCCTCGCGTCGAAAGCGAGGTGGTGGGGGATCGGAGAATTTCTTTTCTTTTCTGGGATCCGCCGCGTCACGGCGGAGCGGGAGGTGGCAGGTGGGTGAGCGGAGCAGGGCCGCGGTAAGAAAAGGACGGGCGGGGGTAGGCGGGACGGATTCGAGGATCCGGAGGTCGCAGGGGGTGACGGACTGATGATGGTGTCGGATTAGGGTAGTTTGCCATGGCGGCCCTGGCGCCGAGCCGTGGCGTGCCCTGGCGCCGGCGCCAGATCCCCCACTGTTCGGGGGCGCGTCCACCGGCGCGTGCGTCGGGCGTGTGGCGACCACGTCCAGTCAAAGAACGCACGGTGATTTTGATTGTATGTTCTTTTAGGGGAAAATTTTGATTGTATGAATAAACTTCTACTGGACCGCTGATATTACTATAAAACACATACAATTTGTAGAGTATCATAATTGTGTTGACCATTATATTTGGATTACTACAACATGAACTGTAGCATTATATTTTTGAAGAGCATGTCAAGTTCACAACATCACGTTTTGTGTTTCAAAGGGTTCACGTGAGAGTATAGAGCATCTCCAGCCGCGCCCCCAACAAGCCCCCCGGGGCGACTTTTTTTGGCGTCAGCGCCGACAAATCCCCCAGTCGCGCCCCAAGACGCCGAAGTCCACGGGCTCGGCCCGTTTTTGGGCCCGGCGATCCCAGGCCGAACCCAGCACACTGGGGGGGAGGGGGGGCTCGAGGGCTCCGGCGAAAGGGAAAACCACGTCTGGGCCACACTGTCAGGCGAAAAGTCAAGACAAACGGCCAGATTCGCCCCCTCCCCCACCCCCACATGACCTCCCGCCACCTTGCCGATCCCGGCGCTGCCCACCGCCCACCACTGCTAGATAGGTCATTCCCCGCCGGAAAAGAGAGGGATTTCACCACGGCAACCTCTCCACCACCTTCCTGGGCAAGTTTTCCGGCGTTCGGCCGCGCAGGGCGGGATACCGACGGTTGTGCGCCCACCACGCCCGCCAGGTGTTCGGTGATTTGTCTGCTCGGCGATGGACTCAGACGACGAGGAGGCGCTCGCAGCGCTGCTGGAGGAGGAAGCCGATGCCGACGTCCAGGACGAAGAGCATCTCATGGTCCTCGCCGCCCTGGTTGGCCTGCTCGTGAGCAATGCAAAGCCGCGGTGAGGTGGCTCGGCGCCGGGGCGGCTGAAAGCAAAGAACCGGCATCATCTGGAAGCCTAGTGCATGCTCTACTCTGACTACTTCGCCGATGCTCCACTGCACAACGACAAAGTTTTTTAGCGCTATTATCGGATGAGCTCAAAGCTTTTCCTCAGAATTGTGAATTACATCCGGGAGTTCGACAGCTACTTCAAGTGCAAGAAGGATTGCACCGGCAAACTTGGATTCACCTCAATCCAGAAGTGCACGACAACTATGAGGATGCTTGCATACGGAGCTCCTGGTGATTCACTCGACGATTATGGGCGCATGGCCGAGTCCGCGACCATTGAGTGTTTCTACAAGTTCTGCAGGGCAGTGATGGCAGTGTTTGGACTGCAATACTTGTGACCACCCAATGCTAAAGACACTGCTCGGATTCTAGCATAGAATATAGCAAGAGTATTTCCTAGGATACTTGGAAGCATCGACTGCATGCATTGGAAATGGAAAAACTGTCCATTTTCTTAGCAGGGGGTGTACAAAGGCGCCAAAGGCGGTTGCAGTGTGGTACTTGAGGCAGTGTCCACACAAGACCTCTGGATATGGCACTCCTTCTTTGGTATGCCAGGAACTCATAATGACATCAACGTGCTGCAGTGCTCCCCTGTCTTTGCCAAGCTTGTTGAAGGTCATTCTCCTCCGGTGAACTCCGAGGTCAATGGGCGACACTACAACAAGGGATACTACCTAGCAGATGGCATCTATTCGAGATGGTCTATATTTGTGAAGACTATCTCAAACCCTGTGCCACATTTTGCGAAGGTTCAGGAGGCTTGCAGGAAGGATGCCGAGCGGGCATTTGGTGTGCTCCAATATCGATTTGTTATTGTCTGGTACCCCGCTCAGACCTGGTCGAAAGATCAAATGTGGGAGATCATGACTTGCTGTGTCATCTTGCACAACATGATCATTGAGAGAAGGAAGAGCCAGTGTTTGACACTGAACCATATTACATGCAGGGTCCTCTTGCCCAAGTTGATCACCAGATACCGGCAACCTGGACTGCCTTCCTCAATATGCGTCAGGAGATCCGAGACCCACAGATGCTTCAACAATTGCAGCAGGATCTGGTGGAGCACCTATGGAGGCTCTGAAGGAAATATGCCCTAAAGGCAATAATAAAGTTGTTATTTATATTTCCCTATTCATGATAAAGGTTTATTATTCATGCTAGAATTGTATTGATCAAAAACCTAAATAGATGTGTGAATGCATAAACAAACACCGTGTCCCTAGTGAGCCTCTACTTAACTAGCTCGTTGATCAAAGATGGTTAAGGTTTCCTAACCATGGACATGAGTTGTCATTTGATAACGGGATCACATCATTAGGAGAATGATGTGATGGACAAGACCCACCCGTTATCTTAGCATAATGATCGTTCAGTTTTATTGCTATTGCTTTCTTCATGTCAAATACATATTCCTTCGACTATGAGATTATGCAACTCCCGGATACCAGAGAAATGCCTTGTTTGCTATCAAACGTCACAACATAACTGGATGATTATAAAGATGCTCTACAGGTATCTCCGAAGGTGTTTGTTGAATTGGCATAGATCAAGAGTAGGATTTGTCACTCCGAGTATCAGAAAGGTGTCTCTGGGCCCTCTCGGTAATACACATCATAAGCTTGCAAGCAAATGACTAAACAGTTAGTCACGAGGTGATGTATTACGGAACGAGTAAAGAGACTTGCCGATAATGCGATTGAACTAGGTATGAAGATACCGACGATCGAATCTCGGGCAAGTAACATATGTATGTTGTCATAACGGTTTGACCGATAAAGATCTTCGTAGAATATGTAGGAGCCAATATGAGCATCCAGGTTCCGTTATTGGTTATTGACCAGAGAGGTGTCTCGGTCATGTCTACATAGTTCTCGAACCCGTAGGGTCCGCACGCTTAACGTTTGTTAACGATATAGTATTATATGATTTATGTGATTTGATGACCGAATGTTGTTCAGAGTCCTGGATGAGATCACGAACATGACGAGGAGTCTCTAAATGGTCGAGAGGTAAAGATTGATATATAGGACGATGGTGTTTGGACACCGGAAGTGTTCCGGAGGATACCGGGTACATATCGGGCCACCGGAAGGGGTTCCGGGCATCCCCGACAAAAGATATGGGCCTTATGGGCCAAGAAAGGAAACTCACCAGCCACAAGGGGCTGGTGCGCCCCCCATATGGGCCGGGCAAGGTGGAGAAGGAAAGGGGAAGGAGGAAAGGAAAGAAAGGGAATAGGATTCCCCCTTCCTTCCTCCTCCCCCTCTTTCCTTCCCCCTCCGACTAATATGGCAGGGGAGGGGCGCCACTTGGGAGGAGCCCAAGTAGGACTCGGCCTACTTGGGGCGCCCTCCTGGCTGCTAATACGTCTCCGTTGTATCTACTTTTCCAAACACTTTTGCCCTTGTTTTGGACTCTAACTTGCATGACTTGAATGGAACTAACCCGGACTAACTTGTTTTCAGCAGAACTGCCATGGTGTTATTTTTGTGCAGAAATAAAAGTTCTCGGAATGACCTGAAAATCCATGGAGCAACTTTTCAGAATAAATAAAAATACTGGCGAAAGAATTAGCGTCAGGGGGCCCACACCCTGTCCATGAGGGTGGGGGCGCCCCCCTCCCCTAGGGCGCGCCCCCCTGCCTCGTGCGCCCCCTGGACGTCCACCGACCTCAACTCCAACTCCATATATTTGCTTTCATGGAGAAAAAAATCAGAGAAAAAGTTTCATCGCGTTTTACGATATGGAGCCACCGCCAAGCCCTAATCTCTCTCGAGAGGGCTGCTCTGGAGTCCGTTCGGGGCTCCGGAGAGGGGGATTCGACGCTGTTGTCATCATCAACCATCCTCCATCACCAATTTCATGATGCTCACCGCCGTGCGTGAGTAATTCCATTGCATGCTTGCTGGACGGTGATGGGTTGCATGAGATTTACCATGTAATCAAGTCAGTTTTGTTATGGTTTGATCCCTAGTATCCACTGTGTTCTGAGATTGATGTTGCTACGACTTTGCTATGCTGGGCCCGGGTGCCATGATTTCAGATCTGAACCTATTATGTTTTCATGAATATATGTGAGTTCTTGATCCTATCTTGCAAGTCTATAGCCACCTATTATGTGTTATGATCCGACAACCCCGAAGTGACAATAATCGGGATACTTCTCGGTGATGACCGTAGTTTGAGGAGTTCATGTATTCACTATGTGTTAATGCTTTGGTCCGGTACTCTATTAAAAGGAGGCCTTAATATCCCTTAGTTTCCATTAGGACCCCGCTGCTACGGGAGGGTAGGACAAAAGATGTCATGCAAGTTCTTTTCCATAAGCACGTGTGACTATATTCGGAATACATGCCTACATTACATTGATGAACTAGAGCTAGTTCTGTGTCACCCTATGTTATAACCATTACATGAGGAATCACAGCCGACATAATTATCCATCACTGATCCAATGCCTACGAGCCTTTCACATATTGTGCTCTGCTTATTTACT